TTTCTTGGCATTGAAGTATCACGGTCCAAGCAAGGACTCTTCCTTTCCCAGAGGAAGTATACATTGGAACTCCTAGCTGAAACTGGTATGTCTGCTTGTGAGCCGATAGATACTCCGATTGAAGTGAATCATGGCCTAGCCTTCTTTTCTGATCAGATTCCAACAAACAAGGAAAGATATCAAAGGATCGTGGGTAGACTAATCTATTTAACTCATACCAGGCCAGATTTAGCATATGCAGTCAGTGTTGTTAGCCAGTTTATGCACAATCCAAGTGATCAACACATGAATGCTGTTAATCGAATCTTGGCTTACTTGAAATCAGCTCCAGGAAAAGGTGTCTTATTCTCCAAACACGAACATTTTGATGTGGTTGGATATATAGACTCTGATTTTGCTGGTAGCAAGTTGGATAGAAAATCAACTTCTGGATATTTGGCTTTTGTTGGAGGCAACTTGGTGTCTTGGAAAAGTAAAAAACAGAACGTGGTTTCATTATCTAGTGCAGAGGCTGAATATCGAGCTATGCATCATGCTATCACAGAACTCTCTTAGCTAAAAATTCTCTTAAAGGAGATTGGGTTTGGTCCAAAAGGTTCTATGGTATTATTTTGTGATAATATGGCAGCCATTAAGATTGCAAATAATCCTGTTCAACATGATCGGACAAAGCATGTTGAAATTGATAGGAACTACATCAAAGATAATCTTGATTCCGGGACAATTGAAATTCCCTATACTAGAAGTTCAGATCAGTTGGCTGATATTATGACTCATGCTGTTACTAGTAGCTTATTCAATGCATCTCTATCCAAGTTGGGCATTTGTGATATCTATGCCCCAACTTGAGGGGGAGAGTTGGTAGGAATTAGCTGTAATTAGTCTAAGAATACAGCTATGTAATTAGTCTAAGATAGCTGCTGTAATTAGTCTAAGAACACAGCTATTAGTCTAAGATAGCTGCTGTAATTAGTCTAAGAACACAGCTGTATATAGTCTGTAATACAGACTATATACAGCTGTACATGGCTGACCATTTAACCTAGTTACTTGTATAAATAGATCAATGAAATATATGAAAAATGAACTTTCAGCATAATAAATAACTCAAATAATCTCTTGAATTCATCCCCCACCTCCATGGATATTAGCTCATCTACTATATAATGCCAATTATACTTCTTCTTCCTAGAATAATGTGGATCGCTATCAATTCCATCATCTCTAGTATCTTCAATCGGCACTGGCCCCTCACCAGGAATTCCAAGAGCCTTTGCTATATCCTCTAATGTTACAGGCAGTACACGTCCACCTTCAAGTTGTATATATGAGTGAGTTGGATTGAAATTATTCACCAACCACATGCATATATCCTTTGGAAAGAGGTGGCATTGGATCTCCAGTAATCCACTAAAATCTATTTCTTTTCTTACAGCTATTTTCGCCCCATCAATACGACCCACAAACTTTAAAAATTTAGTTGGTGTGAACCTAAACCTGTATGCCTATAAAAACAATATAACAATGTTGATAAAAATTAACAAATAACAGTCCAATACTTGCACTTGCGCTTTGAAACTTCTAAATCATTTAATTTAAAAACAATAAAATTTGATGCTACGTCCTTACTTGTTTCGCTACATCACTCTTTATGTTTTCTCCCTTGTCTGCTATAGACTCCTTGTAGATTTTCATTAGCTCCTTATATTTTTTCATATCTGCTTCATTTTTTCATACCAATTTCTCTTCATCACTCAATTTGTTCCACGCATTTCCAGCAGCTATGTTTAGCTCCTGAATTGTTAATGTCTTTCCCTTTGCTTTTTGCTTGCATGCGAAATCAATCCTACCATAATTTAATATGATTAGATCCATCACATAGACTTTTAATTTTATCGTGAGTTTTTTAACTAATTCAAAGCCCCAAATGTAGACAATAATCGTTCTATAAAGCCATATATACCTGTATGCAATGAAATCAGTTGGTGGCTTCACTGGCTTTACTGGATTATTGTCATAATGTTCCTCAACCTACTTGCCTTTATCTTTTGTAAGATTCATCTTCTTGGTTCCCCGACGTCCCATAATATATTATTTCAAACTGCACCAAAATAAATGACATGACAAAAACATAAGGGATAATTTCAAAATCCTATCCCTTGAGATTTCTTCACAGAAGTGTATTATCACACTTCTGTAGTTACAAATGTACAAGAGATTTATATAAAGTTACAAAATGTTCAAAACTTGTTACACTATTTACGGACGGTTGATCTAACAATTGTTCCTACCTCACTCCCTAGTATTAAATAGTCATGGAGTTTCCAATGATATTAACAGCAACAATGGACATTATGTCATTGTCAAAATTACAATTCCTAAGTAAACAATCAATTACCATCAATTGAATAATGAACATTATGCCATTACCTAATGAAAGGAACTCCTAGATAACCACAAAATCAACAATTAAATAACCATACTTACAGTTTGTTCTTTACCATGTACACTATACACAAGTGAAAGAACACTCAGTTTTTTTACCATGCTATAGGTTTGTAAACTATAATAACTAATATGTACAAGAAAAATATCAATTGATACAAACAACATAACAATATGTCATGCCAACTTTATTTGACTAAACTCTCAATCTAAAATCATATAACAAATTAATAGCAATAACAGAAAAATTCCTGCTTAACTGTGAATATTGACAGTTATTGCATTCTCAGAATAGGTACAAAAAAAAAAAACCAAGCAACTACTAAAAACTCTTTTGTCACCTTTCACATGATGTTCTTATACTCCCTACAACAATTTCTTTTATATGCATTGAAATTTCTATTGTCCAAACAAATCAACAAATTGTAAGTCCAATTGCACCAGTTGTAACTTAACCTTAACTATCAATCAATTTTGTGATTTCAAATAAGAGACATTCATGGTCACATATATTCCATTCATGCCCAATTAATTGAGTATTCCATCACAAAATTTTAACTTTCATGTGAACAAAATATAATAATGAGAAAATTGTGTAGGATGAAATTTTCAGGCAAATAAGAATATCCCACAAATAAGAATATCTGCTCAATTGTGACTATTGACAGTCATCGTATTCTCAAAATAGGCAAAGAAAAGAAGCAAGCAACTAATAAAACCGTCCTAGCCACTTTTCACATGATTCTATTATACCTACCACAAGAATTTCTTTCGTATGCGTTCAAATTTCTGTTGTCCAAATAAAGCAATAAATTGTAAACCTATTTAAACCACATGTAACTTAACCCTAACTGCGTGTAAATATTTTTTTCAAATAGCAATCTTTTACTAAACCTATGTCCAAATCATGCCCAATTCATTGTAAACCTAATTAAACCACTTAACCCTAACTACGTGTAAATATTTTTTTCAAATAGCAGACATTCACTAAACCTATGTCCAATTCATTGGCCATTCCATCCGTTGTCTTTTTTTCCCTCAAAATTTCATATTAGTGTGTATACTGTCTAAATAGCGTGTAAATATTTTTAGTTTATAGCCCGGTACATCTGACAAAAGATAAATTTGTTCGATCATTTCAACAAAATAGAGTTTCTTACCTCGATTAAATTTGAAATCTCCAACTATTGCAACACCCCGAGGCCTTGGATTATGCAGTTTCTCCTCCTCCCAAAAACACTGTGGGTCTTCTTTAGGAGGAATTCAAGTAGTTGTTTTGAGAATTAGCAGACAACGGGGAGTAAAATGGGAGTGATTTTGTAGAGTGAAATGGCAGTTCTTTTGTGGAGTGATTTTTTGTATTAGCAGACAACGGGGAAAGGGTTTGGGAAATAGGGAAAGTGAAATGGGGATTTCTGATAAAAAGGAACTTTGCATTAATAATTTTGGCAGGATAAATTTGACGCCCTTTGACGATGATGCTCCATCCGTTAGCAAAATTTTTATTTTTTTATTTGCCACTCAATAAAACGACGCCGTCTTCTTCAGCTGATATAACTTTGCGACATGGCATCGTTTTGGCCGTTGCTGATGGGCCATTACATCTTGGCCATGAAAAGTTTCCGGACGGTTGATTCACAAACGTCCAAGCCCCTGATCCATCAAGCAAAGCCAAAGCAGTGCCCCCCAATGGTGAAACTGAAACTGCTGTTTTAATATAGCTCTGTGTGTGCTCGGACACGGTACAATGAGCAAATATGAATATCCACAGCACAGGGCTCGTAGGTGTATGTGGCTGTAAATAAAGAGGTTCCTTCTATTTGGACAAAACGGTTCTCTTTGGCCTGCAAATTTTTGAAAGCTGTTTTCGAAAGTTATTGTGCTGCTATCGAAATCTCACCCATCATTTCAAGTGTTTATTACTTCAAAAATTCTTCCAAAGGCAGTTTAGGTTGAACATGACCTCTAGCCCATACATGCCATCTTGATCAAAAGCCATATGCGGCAGGCAAAATGATATTGGCAAACACTTGATAGATCCTATTTACTACCTAGAGTTAGTGGTTCAAAATTTAACACATCATGGTACTAACTCAAGGAATGAAAATGTGACCAAAACACCTACCAGAAATAGTTGCTGAGCTATAACATTAATGGCTTTCCTTTGGTGTGAGGTTCTTTTGCAGGACTTTGAGGTTTCAAAACTCTTGCGAGGGCAGCTCACACAGTTATAATTACATCTGCTTTATAGCTCAAGTTCAATATTAGACAACTTCAAAGGCAAACAGGCTAATCATCTACACAGCACAGGCTAATCATCTACACAGCACAGGCAAATCAAGACAGAATATTTCAGACCCAATTAATGAGAGTCGTGCTTCCATGCAACAGCTATTGATGGACCACTGTTTTTTGTTCGAGTCAAGATTCTTCCTCCAACAAATCGCCCCACTGCTTATTTAACCAGGATGTCTGAAGCTTTATTAGGCTATGCATACCAGGCCAAGGAGGCATAGGTAATAACGACAGGAAAGGGAAAAGAAATGCTTGGAGGGTTGTTCAAACAACTTGCGCCCCTTCAACATTCATTGTAGGGTAAATAAACAAACACCATCAATAGAATTTCCGAACAATGAAAATACAACAATTGGTATATGGAGATTTAGAAGCAAAATTAATTTACACTAGGAGAGGAAAAAAAGAAGTCAAAGTGAAACCTACAACAATATCAAAAGAGGGTACATCACGCCAAAGTTGAAGGCATCAACCAGTAGAATGTTTACTAACCCAAAATTTCCTATAATTCTCATCATCTCCTACCACCCTCTGCTAAGCCCAAATGCCCGTCCACAACCACCAAAAGGAGAAAAAAGCAAACGAAGTGTCTGACAAGGTAATCTGCATTTTACTTTATCTGGTGAGGAAGCTCAAGTTTGACCTTTATAGACTGTATTCTCTCTAGTTGGGTGTTTCCCTACTCGGCAAATGTAACTTGTAACTAAAAGCACCGATCAACCTGGCAAACAATAACGAAGAGAAGCAAAAGTTCTAGACGTTGGCTTTTGAAACATTTTTACTCTTACGTGACCTCTTCCTTTTTCTATTCCTGCTTCTCACGGTTGTATCTCCATTCCCATTTTCCTGCACCCAACTCCATCTCATGAGAAAGAAAAACAGCAAGGGATCATTGAAACATCCAGAAGAGCATTTATTAATCACAATTAACTACAAAGATGTACAGCCAGAAAAACACAAAACACAATAATACTGAACGCAATCCAAGAAATACAAGCAGAGAATACAGGTCAAGAATTCAGAAATGAAACCAACCTTTACTGAAGCAGCATTATTTGTATTCTCACGTGGTTTTTTCTTCTTACAGGACAGTGGGTTTGGACCCTACAATGTACGAGGGAAGGGAGCTCAGAAAAGACACACTCAACAGAGATTCAAAAAATTGAAAAATTAGAGAAGCACATGCCAATCAAAAGTACTTGCAGCAATCACAAAATGACGGGGAAGCCAGATGATGGATTCTAACCTTAGATCTCTTTCTCTTGAATTGAACTGTGTCCTTTAAATCTCTCTTTTTTCTAAAATTTGTTTGGATGGCCTGAACCGTAAATGTACCATCATTCTTGTCTTCATTGGCATCAGAAGAATCCTTTGCTTCCTCAAAGGCTACATTCTTTTTCTTTACATTCAACAACTTGTATTCCAAGTCAGTCATATGTGAATGATCTTCCTCAACAGATCTAACAAACTGGTGTTGAAAAGCTGACGGCTGTTCAAGAAATAAGGCATTCCGAAGGCCATAAATAAGAGGAACACCTGGTACCTGCATCAAGTAGACATTAAGGAAAATGAAAAGGTAGAAATAGATAAAATTTTGTTGAAGATGCAAGTTCTAGAGAGAATATGTCTTTTTTAGATTCCAAAAATAGAGTGATCAACAGTTTGATACTTCTCCACTCTCCATTATATTGAGTAACACCTAAAAAGTTAGAAAGGTTAAGCCCCTTTCAGACATTAGGACCCAAAATCATCCACTTATTGGGAAGTGACAAACAAGGTTGATACAGAATATGCAACACCTAAGCAAAGTGGAATACCAAGCAACTGGGATTTTTTATGATAGAGTCAGACAACTCATCAATTACTCATGGGAATATTACTAATTATATTCATGGCAACTATCAAACTAAGTCGGAGCCTGCCATTCCCATCATATTAACACCTTATACCTTGCCTATGAAAGTTAAACAAACCAAAACCATATGCAACTACATGAGGCACATACTTGGACTTTAAAATGCAAAAAAATCAGATAGTTGTCTAATGTTCAACCAACAGAGTTAGCATAAAGTGAGAGAGACTAGATGCTATGGTGTTGTGGAGAAGAAAACATTGAACAAACCTTTTGAAATTTCTTCCGCAATTCAGCATCCTGAGTAGCCACAAAGAAATGCTCAGAATTGTTTTCTCCAATAATATCAGTTATGCAACTGACAGCACTCTTCCGTTTCTCATGGTCACATCTGAATAAAAGGTTCATCAATGTTTCCTTACAGAAACAAACTAAAAAGAGAAAGATGATGCTACATGATCACCGCCCATTTTTGTACAAACACTTTTTACAGATGTTTGGTTGTACAGGAGCCAATTAGAAAATCAAGTCAGTAGAACTTTAACTGTATTTAAAAAACTTCCAAAACTCCTTAGAGAAATAAGAGGTACGCAAGGAAAAGCAAACCTTGCGGTTAATAGGTTACGAGCTGCATTAAGAGATTCAGCATAGGAGTCACCAAGGCTTCTCAACTCGCCAAGAACACATCTGAAACCAGGAGTGAAACCTTAAATGAGTAGTTAACAAACAAGTTATGCTCATCAAACATCTAGCACATCATACAGAACCACGTGACAAGAACAACCTAGCATTGAAATCCTTTCATTCAAGTATAGCAGATTAGGATAATCCAATATTTAGTTCACAAGGTACTCTGAGAAAGAATTATTGCATTTAACTTCCATTTAAAGGGACAAGTCACTATTTGCACAGACAACTTGTTTTGTTGTAGGAATCCAACCACTACCACCACAGTGATGGACTTCATCACCACCTAGATCCATATCTACTATACAATCCCTTAAGGCCACCTGAGGAAGAAAATATATATCCTATACCACCTTTAGTTTTGTACAATTGACTGCCCTACAAGAGTACCGACCAAATGCCTATAATCTGTACCACCATTGCATCATCCCGCCATTTTGCCACTTCTCATGCCACCAGAATGCATACCAAAAATGGAAATGGAACTTCACTTTTGTGCCAAGATATCTTTAACTTGAATATTCATTAAAAAAAAAGGATTAACTTTCTATGCACTGACATTGCAGTGATTTTTTTTTTTACACTAGCAGCCTTGAATGTATGATACATGTACATTATTTGAATTTCAAATTTGAATTCACATTATCTGACATGATCTAAACCTGCTTGTGTAAATAAATCTTTACACCGACAGTGTATGAAAATGTTATCTGAAAAAAAAATGCTATGGCAATCCCCTTGGCAGTTGTTATTATGGCCCAAGTCACAGATGCAACAGCACAAGTGTCAAGGATGCTTTAAATACATTTTCACACAGTAGTACAATGAAACCATAAGCTAATGATTGCCTTCAGCAGGATGCATTTTTATCACCATAAGTTCAAGTTTCTGTACCATCACTAACAAGAGTACTTCTTTACACTGCAAACTTCTATTTTGGCTGATAATCAGATTTCACCACACCGCCTCAGCTTTAATACCAGAACTGTTTTTTGCACAAATCCTATAAGTGTCTATGGTATCTACATATTACCAAAAGTTAAGACTCTCCAAAGAATACGTTGTTACAAACTTCAAAAGGAAGTTTTCACTCTCTCCCTTTCTTCTTCTCCATGTCTCTTTATCTCATCTACATTTCACATGAAAACTCAGCCCTTTTTTGGTTTTAAAGATATCTCCTTTCAGGTCCCTTGCTAACTATAATCTGTTATGATGTAATTTAGTTACAACCAAAACTCACAAGAAAACAATTTGTAAATTTCTTCAGCTTACAATTTCTTTTAGCCACTTACCTTAACAGGGGGAAAAAATAACATAAGAAGCCATGGCTTGGAACACAGTTTTGAAAGTATTACCAGAAAATTAAAAAACTAACAATGCAAATCATCTTAAAGATTTTGTCTAAACATTTTGTGCAGCAAAAGGAAGCCATTAGACCTGGTAGTGAAAATCTTTACTGGGGCACCTAAAGCATTAGCCAACGCAGTATCAGCAGGAGTGATCTTATTGAGAAGCAGGTGGTGCACAAAAGTTCCATCACACAGAACTTTAAAAGGCTCCCTGAAACCAAAGCAAGCTGCATAGAATCGGACAGCTTTTCGATGGCGTTTCTGCTTCTTTACTCTCATCTATCAACATCAAGAAAATAATGAATCAACATGAGAACATTGATAACAAACAAGAAAATTGAAATCCATCCCAAATTGTGATTTTTTTGACTTAAGATTTGAGGTATATTTTCTTATGCACTAAAAAAGTTAGGTAAAATCCTAACACTTGACTTCTGCATTTCCTTATGAAAATGTCCTGTATGTCCATTTAATTAGTATCCAATAGAACTCGAGTTGAGGCATTGCGGTGGCATCAAGAGTCACAGAAACAAGGGTAAAAATGGCATGCAAACCTCTTATAATGTTAGACATGCAACAGTTTGAGTTAGAAGAAAAACTAATATTCCTCCATTGTTTCTTTCAGTGTATCGTGGGATCTAATTCCACTTCCTCCAGCACTCACTGGATTGACTCGAGGAAGAGTTAAAACAATTTAGCAGCCAGTCATTCATCTAAAGTGTTTCAAGGTCTAAACTTCTACAACAAAAATGTCCATTATTTACGTTATCCAGCACAAAATCTAAGCTAATAGTCTTAGTTCCCTTGAATTAAATCCATCGACATACATACAACAGCATAACACACAATGCTCAAAAGGGATTACGTACATTGCCATTCAAAGTCAAAAAATCCGACTAAGAAACAAAACAACCAGTCCTTGAGCCAGAATGGAAAAAAAAGAAGAAGAAAAAAGAAAAACCGATGAACCGAAATAACTTAAAACTTTGTCCTAGTTTAACAACTATTCAGATGCAATTAAATAGCACAACTAATTATGATTATTCAGCTAAAGAATTTTCCCATCTATTATAAGCTGAGTGAAAGTATACATCATTAAACAACCCCCCAACATGAAAATATTCTTCATTTACCACAAAAGAGAGACGGGAAAAAAAGAAAGTGGAATATGAATTCAAAAATCATGAAACCTCAAGCAGGCAACTAGTATGGGAAATTTAATATACACTACTAACAGAAATATATAAAGATACCTGGAAATATTGCTATCTATGGACAGAAAGATATGGGTCGCCACCGTAAGGAAGACCAGAGAAGAAAGAAGAACAAAGGGGGAGGGTATTTGCACTTTGCGACTTTTTGTCTGGGAGGTTCGGTCGAGGAAAATACTTAACGAATCAAAGGGGTTTTACAGCCGTTCGAGCAATGGGTGAAGGGAATTGCTAGAATAGTCCTTTAAGTATTTACTAAGTCTCAATTTAGTTCTCAATATTTTATAGTGCTTTTTAATCCTTTTTTTTGTAGTTTGGACTCGAGAATTTGTATAACATTCAATTTAAAAATTTTATTGAGGTTTAATTATATTTATATAGTCGCAAATGGAGGTTTAGCTATGTTTTAGGCTTCATTCTTTGTTTGGATACCTTTTCTCTTTTCTTTTTCTATATTTTTTGTCTCTTACGTACTTCTTATTTTTATACTTTCGTTTGAAAAAATTATTTGCAAGTGCATTCTTCGAAAAAAAATACTGCACTTAATTATCATATTTCTAACGATCTCAAGTACATTACGTTAGAAAAAATTCAACACTAATATATTAAATAAATGATTAAAATAAATTTTAATCCAAACAAGATATTCTATAAAAACTATCATAGCACAATTTAGTAATATATGTTTTTCTTTCTACTCTTTTAAAATAATTTCTCCGTAAAATTTGACAACTTAATTAACTTATTTTTATTTTTCTTTGGTAATTAACTAGATCGAAAATTTCATGAAAAAAAATTCTAGATTGAAATATATCACTTTTGAAACATCTAGGTTCCTTTGTTGGATGTGCTAAGAATCAAGAAAAGACATCAAATGAGGCTGAAAAGCACCAATATTTTGAGTTTGGTACTAAATTTGCAAATTTTCTTTTTTCATCGTGGATCCTTTGCTTTTGCCTCCAACCAAAAGAATGGTATTTTAAGAAAACCCGGAAGTTGGATAAAAGACGGAGAAAAACCAATGTTTTAAACCCCGGACAGTCAATTGAACCGGTGAAGTGAAAGGGTCGAGGTCGGACCGGTTCAACCCCGGTTCAATAAATAAATAAATAAATAATATATATATATATATATATAGTCTTAAACAAATAATTAATACATAGCTAATTATGAATATTCAACAAATAAATTAAAACATTGCCAAGGAGGAATCTGTGATGCATCACCAACCATTACCTCAAAGACAGCGGTGAGTCATGTTTCAGAGCCTATCTTAAATTTGTATGTTTCCTACATTTTCGTTCACCACAAGGCCAAGGTAGGAAACGACATCGAAAGAATTGACTGCTTGAAATTCAAAATTGGGTTTAGTACCAACTTCTGGTACCTGACCAATTAATTGACATTTTTGGTCCTCGGCCAAAAACTAAGGATCTAATCTACCACGAAAAAACCCTAGTTTCATACTCCCTGAAACTGGTTGCAAAATGCCTTTCAAAAAGAAGACAAAGGTGTCGCCCGAGCCTGAGCCTGAGGTCGACAAAGAGTCCAATGAGTCAGCTCCAAAAGCCGGGGCTAACAGAGGGATTTCCAAACCCAGTAATCAACAACGAACGAGTAAAAAAACATTTAATTTGAGGACAAAAACACGCACCTCGGCAGGAGAAACAGACTGGTGAAAAAATTGCAGGACAAACCCAGTAATCAACAAAGCAAACTAACGAGTAAAAAAACAAAACAAAACAAAAATTGCAGGACAAACAGACTGACAGCTTATATAATTTGCGGACAAACCAAAAAAAAACATTGATTTAGGCTGATCAGCTTATAATATAATCATTTAGGTTGCTGCTGCAATGACAAGTCAATAAGGATCATATGCCCAAAAATTACAGCAGCATATAGGGCCGAGGGGACGGAATGGATCATAACCAAAACTCAGTAATCAACAACGAAAGGAAAAAAAAAAGGAAAAAAGATAAACGAACCTGGTATAAGCTTCAGGCCTTTCAGGAGTGCAATAGGAAATCTTAAATGGGAAAACCTTTCACCTCGGCAGGTTCACTTTCAGTGCTGGTAATGCTGTACAAGACTCGATCATAAATTTTGTCCCTAAAGATGTTGATGAATTGATGGGTAGCAGCTGAGAATCGAAACAAGTGAATTGAGTTGCTCCATAGATCACTGTCCGTGATTGATTCCAGAGTTTTTTTTTGGCTTAGAATCGGTGCGGTGAGTAGAAAAACATCACTGCTGATTGCTATGGATCAAGATTGGAGTTTGGAGTTTGGAGAAGGGATTAGGGTTAAGCAATTAAGGGGAGAAGGAAATAGAGACGGCAGGCAATTTCGGCAATTGTAGAGGAAGCAGGAAGACGGAAGCGGCGAAAAGAACCTACTGACTGAAGAGTGAACTGAAGATTAGGTTTAGATAATTTCAGCCAAAATTGAAAATTCAGTCAATTTTGACCAAAAATTGAAAAATTGCGGTTAACTGTTCGAACCGGTTTTAACGGTTTTAACATTTTTTTTACAATTTTGACCGATTCTTGATCCAAGTCAACACAAGCTATGAATCGAATCGGACACATGGCCGGACAAGGTGATCTTAGGATAGTCATTTCCAGTTTTTCAGAAAAACTTTTTCTCCGTCTTTCATCCAACTTCCAGATTTTCTTAAAATATCATTCTTTTGGTTAGAGGCAAAAGCAAAGGATCCACGATGGAAAAAGAAAATTTGCAAATTTAGTACCAAACTCAAAATATTGGTGCTTTTCAGCCTCATTTGATGTCTTTTCTTGATTCTTAGCACATCCAACAAAGGAACCTGGATGTTTCAAAAATGATATATTTTAATCTAGAATTTTTTTCATATAATTTTCGATCTAGTTAATTATCAAAGAAAAATAAAAAAAAGTTAATTAAGTTGTCAAATTTTACAGAGAAATTATTTTAAAAAAGTAGAAAGAAAAACATATATTACTAAATTGTGCTATGATAGTTTTTATAGAATATCTTGTTTGGATTAAAATTTATTTTAATCATTTGTTTAATATATTAGTGTTGAATTTTTTCTAACGTAATGTACTTGAGATCATTAGAAATATGATAATTAAGTGCAGTATTTTTTTTTTCGAAGAATGCACTTGCAAATAATTTTTTCAAACGAAAGTATAAAAATAAGAAGTACGTAAGAGACAAAAAATATAGAAAAAGAAAAGAGAAAAGGTATCCAAACAAAGAATGAAACCTAAAACATAGCTAAACCTCCATTTGCGACTATATAAATATAATTAAACCTCAATAAAATTTTTAAATTGAATGTTATACAAATTCTCGAGTCCAATCTACAAAAAAAAAAAGGATTAAAAAGCACTATAAAATATTGAGAACTAAATTGAGACTTAGTAAATATTTAAAGGACTATTCTAGCAATTCCCTTCTCCCATTGCTCGAACGGCCGTAAAACCCCTTTGATTCGTTAAGTATTTTCCTCGACCAAACCTCCCAGACAAAAAGTCGCAAAGGGCAAATAGCCTCCCCCTTTGTTCTTCTTTCTTCTCTGGTCTTCCTTACGGTGGCGACCCATATCTATCTGTCCATAGATAGCAATATTTTCAGGTATCTTTATATATTTCTGTTATTAGTGTATATTAAATTTCCCATACTAGTCGCCTGCCTGAGGTTTCATGATTTTTGAATTCATATTCCACTTTCTTTTTTTCCTGTCTCTCTTTCGTGGCAAATGAAGAATATTTTCATGTTGGTGGGTTGTTTAATGGTGTATACTTTCACTCAACTTAATAGATGGGAAAATTCTTTAGCTAGATAATCATAATTAGTTGTGCTATTTAATTGCATCCGAATAGTTATTAAACTAGGACAAAGTTTTAAGCTATTTCGGTTCGTCGATTTTTCTTTTTTCTTCTTTTTTTTCCATTCTGGCTCAAGGACTGGTAGTTTTGTTTCTTAGTTGGATTTTTTTGACTTTGAATGGCAATGTACGTAATCCCTTTTGGGCATTGTGTGTTATGCTATTGTATGTATGTCGATGGATTTAATTCAAGGGAACTAAAACTATTAGCTTAGATTTTGTGCTGGGTAACGTAAATAATGGACATTTTTGTTGTAGAAGTTTAGACCTTGAAACACTTTAGATGAATGACTGGCTGCTAAGTTGTTTTAACTCTTCCTCGAGTCAGTCTAGTGAGTGCTGGAGGAAGTGGAATTAGATCCCACGATACACTAAAGAAACAATGGAGGAATATTAGTTTTTCTTCTAACTCAAACTGCTGCATGTCAAACACTATAAGAGATTTGCATGCCATTTTTACCCTTGTTTCTGTGAGTCTTGAGGCCACCGCAATGCCTCAGCTCGAGTTCTATTGGACACTAATTAAATGGACATACAGGACAGTTTCATAAGGAAATGCAGAAGTCAAGTGTTAAAATTTTACCTAACTTTTTTTGTGCATAAGAAAATATACTGCAAATCTTAAGTCAGAAAAATCACAATTTGGGTTGGATTTCAATTTTCTTGTTTGTTATCAATATTCTCATGTTGATTCATTATTTTCTTGATGTTGATAGATGAGAGTAAAGAAGCAGAAACGCCATCGAAAAGCTTTCAGATTCTATACAGCTTGCTTTGGTTTCAGGGAGCCTTTTAAAGTTCTGTGTGATGGAACTTTTGTGCACCACCTGCTTCTCAATAAGATCACTCCTGCTGATACTGCGTTGGCTAATGCTTTAGGTGCCCCAGTAAAGATTTTTACTACCAGGTCTAATGGCTTCCTTTTGCTGCACAAAAAGTTTAGACAAAATCTTTCAGATGACTTGCATTGTTAGTTTTTTAATTTTCTGGTAATACTTTCAAAACTGTGTTCCAAGCCGTGGCTTCTTATGTTATTTTTCCCCCCTGTTAAGGTAAGCGGCTAAAAGAAATTGTAAGCTGAAGAAATTCACATTGTTTTTTTGTGAGTTTTGGTTGTAACTAAATTACATCAGAATAGATTATAGTTAGCGAGGGACCTGAAAGGAGATATCTTTAAAACCAAAAAAGGTCCGAGTTTTCATGTGAAATATAGATGAGATAAAGAGACATGGAGAAGAAGAAAGGGAGAGAGTGAAAACTTCCTTTTGATGTTTGTAACAACGTATTCTTTGGAGAGTAACTTTTGGTAATATGTAGATATCATAGACACTTATAGGATTTGTGCAAAAAACAGTTCTGGTATTAAAGTTGAGGCGTTGTGCTGAAATCTAATTATCAGCCAAAATAGAAGTTTGTAGAGTAAAGAAGTACTCTTGATAGTGATGGTACAGAAACTTGAACTTATGGTGATAAAAATGCATCCTGCTGAAGGTAATCATTAGCTTATGGTTTCATTGTACTACTGTGCGAAAATGCATTTAAAGCATCCTTGACACTTGTGCTGTTGCATCTGTGACTTGGGCCATAATAACAACTGCCAAGGGGGTTGCCATAGCATCTTTTTTTTCATATAACATTTTCATACTCTGTCGGTGTAAAGATTTATTTACACAAGCAGGTTTAGATCATGTCACATAATGTGAATTCAAATTTGAAATTCAAATAATGTACATTTGGCATACATTCAAGGCTGGTAGTGTAAAAAAAAAAAAAATCATTACAATGTCAGTACATAGAAAGTTAATCCTTTTTTTTAATGAAAATTCAAGTTAAAGATATCTTGGCACAAAAGTGAAGTTCTATTACCATTTTTGTTATGCATTCTGGTGGCATGAGAAGTGACAAAATGGCGGGATGATGCAATGGTGGTACAGATTATAGGCATTTGGTTGGTACTCTTGTAGGACAGTCAATTGTACAAAATTAAAGGTGGTATAGGATATATATTTTCTTCCTCAGGTGGCCTTAAGGGATTGTATAGTAGATATGGATCTAGGTTGTGATGAAGTCCATCACTGTGGTGGTGGTGGTTGGATGCCTACAACAAAACAAGTTGTGTTTGTGCAAATAGTGACTTGTCCCTTTAAATGGAAGTTAAATGCAATAATTCTTTCTCAGAGCACTTTGTGAACTAAATATTGGATTATCCTAATCTCCTACATTTGAATGAAAGGATTTCAATGCTAGGTTGTTCTTTTCACGTGGTTCTGTATGATGTGCTAGATGTTTGATGAGCATAACCTGTTTGTTAACTACTCATTTAAGGTTTCACTCCTAGTTTCAGATGTGTTCTTGGCGAGTTGAGAAGCCTTGGTGACTCCTATGCTGAATCTCTTAATGCAGCTCGTAACCTGTTAACCGCAAGGTTTGTTTTTCCTTGCGTGCCTCTTACTTCTCTGAGGAGTTTTGGAAGTTTTTTAAATACAGTTAAAGTTCTACTGACTTGATTTTCTAATTGGCTCCTATACAACCAAACATCTGTAAAAAGTTTTTGTACAAAAATGAGTAGTGATCATGTAGCATCATCTTTCTCCTTTTAGTTTGTTTTTGTAAGGAAACATAGATGAACCTTTTATTCAGATGTGACCATGAGAAACAGAAGAGTGCTATCAGTTGCATAACTGATATTATTGGAGAAAACAATTCTGAGCATTTCTTTGTGGCTACTCAGGATGCTGAATTACAGAAGAAATTCAAAAGGTTTGTTCAATGTTTTCTTCTCCACAACACCATAGCATCTAGTCTCTCTCACTTTATGCTAACTTTGTTGGTTGACATTAGACAGCTATCTGATTTTTTTTGCATTTTAAAGTCCAAGTATTTGCCTCATGTAGTTGCATATGGTTTTGGTTTGCTTAACTTTCATAGGCAAGGTATAAGGTGTTAATATGATGGAAATGGCAGGTTCCATAGATCACTGTCCGTGATTGATTCCAGAGTTTTTTTTTTTTGGCTTAGAATCGGTGCGGTGAGTAGAAACACTTCATTGCTGATTGCTATGGATCAAAATTGGAGTTTGGAGTTTGGAGAAGGGATTAGGGTTAAGCCATTAAGGGGAAAAGGAATTAGAGACGGCAGGCAATTTCGGCAATTGTAGAGGAAGCAAGAAGACCAAAGCAGCGCAAAGAACATACTGACTGTAGGGCTGTGCATCGAAATCGAAAGCGGTAATTCGAAAGTTGAAATCGGAAATTTTCGAAATTTTGACTGGAATTTTCCCGACTGAATTCGATTTCGAAATGGCCAATTCTGATTTTGAATTCGATACCGAATTAAATTTGGAATTCTTTTTTTTCTCCTCTCTTGTTCAAAAAGGGAAAAACCTGTTCAAATTTAATGCAGTCCCCTTGGATTCCACAAGTCGGCTGTCTCAAATTCAAGAGGAAAGGATAAATGATGAATCTAAGTAGCTGATAACATAACAATTACAGCCTATACAATCATCCTAGCAGAGTTTGAATTGCAGAAATTACTTATGGCCTGTACAAACATCCAAACTAGAGTGCCTTTCCAATATCATAAATCACAAGAACTCTACCACTTCATAGTTCATACGAGAATACTTATACAGCCATTCCAGTGAATACTTATACAATCATTCTAGTCCAAATTTCAAATACAAAACAATCCCAGTAAATAATACAAATCAACTATTATCAAATAATACAAATGTAAGCAACAATTTCAGTCCAAATTTCACACAAATAAGACAACAAATATTTCAAATAAATCATAAATGTAAAACAACATTTCAATTTGCAACTTCCGAGGGATTGAGGGATAGGCTTGACTACTTAAACTTGAATTTCTATACTCCAAATTAGAATCACCATTAGAGAATTCAAAGTCATAATTTCAAGCAGATATACTATTAATTATACCGAAATATTAATACCCATTACCCAATACAGTCGCTAATATTTATCCCCCAAAAAAGTTGTGATTTATTTTCCTGCTCATATTAAGGTTAAGAAATTTGAAAACAAAAAGAGCACAAAGAGATTCTCTATTACTGCCCGAAGAAACACAGTGAGAGATTTAGCAAGAGAATATCAAAACAACCAATCAATTACAACATAATCATCACCGGAGAAAGAAATATTACTACTTAAGAAGAAAAATAATGGAAATGTACCTCTTACTCTCAGTCACAAGTTGAGCTGGATGTTGATTCTCTTCAACGAGTACCAAGAGAGAACAACTAGGTTCTAGTCAGTCAATGGTGACTGCTGCAAGGTGGAGAATTGCCTCCTTTGCAAACTCTGCGGAGATTAGCTAAATTTTTTGCTTTAGTTCTTGGCTTTCTGCCTTGGACTGTTTTGCTGGGTGGGGGAAATTGGGGCTGCAGGTCGTGGACTCGAGGTCAATGGAGGTTCAGCACATTAGGCGGCAAAGCATCCCAGTGGAAGGCCCGAAAGCGGCGAAAAAATATGGGTAAAGTCAGATAGGGAAGAATGCTGCAGCGGAGGGAAAAAGGAGTTATTAGGTGAAACCGAGAGTGAGAGAGAGTAAGCTGAGTCGGAGGCGGAGGAAAGAAGTTCAGTGAGACAGTAAGTCAGGCGGTGGAGGCGGAGGAAAGAAGGTGAGACTCTCAGCTCTGAGGAAGACACTAGACGGTGACGAAGAGGCGATGAGGAAGAAGTTGCGGCGAAAGAGTAAGGATTAGGGTTTTTGCAATGTCATGTATTAACTTATTATTTCAATTTCAATTTCAATTATTAACTTATTATGTTATATAATATATAATATATATATATATATATATTTTTTTTTAACATTTTTTTTTATTTAGTGTAAGAAAGAGGACTCGAACCCAAGACCTCTTGCTTACACTCCCTCCCCCGTACCACCCAACCCAACCTTCCCCCCATATAATATATATTATATGTGTATTATTAAAACTATTATATTATATATAAATATTATTATTCGAATTTGATATCGAATTTTCGATTTCGAATTTCTATTTCGAATTCCCCAGTTCAAAATCGGTAATTTCGAATTTAAAAATTATATTTTCGAATTCGATCTGATTTCGATCAATTCGAAATTGAAATTACCGAATTCACTTTCGAATTACCGAAATTCCGAATTCTAACTTTCGAATTCAATTCGAAATCAGTTTCGAAATCGAAATTTTTCAACTTTACACACCCTTAACTATCTGAAGAGTGAACTGAAGATTAGGTTTAGATAATTTTGGTCAAAATTGAAAATTCAATCAATTTTGACCAAAAATTGAAAAATCGCGGTTAATGGTTCGAACCGGTTTGAATGGTTTTAACAAATTTTTTTTTTACGATTTTGACTGATTCTTGATCCAGGTCAACACAAGCTATGAATCGAACCGGACACATGACCGGCTTGCGGTCCAACCGGCCGATATGATCCGGGTTTGAAAACATCGAGAAAACTTGAAATGGCTATCCTAATATCACCTCGTCCGCTCAACTCAAAAGTCCACCCTGTCGTCACCACCACCACCGCCCTGATCGCCACCCATTGCCACCGCTAACTACCTCCACCATTTTTGTCACTGTCCATCTCTTCGGAACTTTATAACCACCAGCAAACACCACAACCAACCACAAAGGAATCAGCACCACAAAAAATAAGAATTGACAAGTCATTCCTAGATGTCTCTGAAGCCACTTTGGACACTGAGCTCTGGGCTGCAGCCTGTCTCCGCGTCCGAACTTTCTATGACTTCCAAAACCAGGACTTTGGCATTCAAGTGAGTCTGAGGATTCCAAACTCAAATCCCTTCATGTTGCCTTGATAAAAAAAAATTCTTTTTTTTTAACTCTAGATTCTTGTTCTTTGTTTATCTTAGTTTTTTGTGTGTGATTTAGTTGTTCTTGCTTAATTTCTTGTTAAGAGTGATAAAAAACTTATGGGATTTTTTAAAAATAGAAACTTGGCAACAGGGGAAGCGTATTGGTAATCAAGATGATTTATTGGCTGTATATGATCCTCGTGCTGATAGAGTAAGCTGGATTTGATTCAGATGAAAAGAAGCCATAGCTGAACTGTTTGATTCGAGTGCTTTGCCATGTATGTAATGCTTCTATTAAAATACATAATCTACAACTGATGTGAAATGATTTTGATGACATTTAGGCAGTACTATGTCTGTGTAAAATGATCAATGTAATGCTGATAGTATGTTCTCCTTGTCAAGTATTATTAGGACCATATAAGGTACTTGGCCGAACATGAATACAAGGCGCTTAAGGAACGGATAGCAGGGACGTGGTTGGGCTTTAAAAAGGTCTCTTGTATTAATGCTACATTACCATGGTCACATGTAGCAACCATCTCAGATGATATATGCAAGTCTTACAAGGTAACTCTTGTTCTGTCTTGTTCCTCATACTCAATTTAAATACTGTCATCTCTAAATGGTATATTAGCAGTGCCAGTTTTATCCATGTGTATAAACATTTAATGGATATGGAATGTTTTGTAATTGCCATTTTTTTGCTTGTACCTTTTTTTCCTTCTCCCATTCTCTTCTTTGTTTCATTAGTGGGGCTTTGTCCCTCAGTTGTGATTAACTTGTAAACTTATGAGCTTTCGTTATTGTTGATTTCTTGGTTTGAATCTTCGAAGATCAGGGTTCAGTAGATATTACTTGCAAAATGAGTCGGCATCATCCTACTCTGTTAGTTTTAGACTGCAGGCTTATCTTGTATGGTCTGCTTTGTCTGTTAGAGTTCAGTAGATAGTTTCAAGTTCTGGTTCAAATGGTCTGTCACCATTGCTGTGTCACAATCTACTGGTTGTGTGAAGATTGGTATGACTGGTTTGCTGGCTGTGCACAAGATATTTTGAGTATGAGTTGATGCTTTTGATTGACCATGATAATTCTAATTTGTGGTCACAGTCCTTGCTAACGCTAGACTGTTCCCAAGTAGAAGAACATTGGGGAAGGCAATATATGGTTGACCAAGTGTTTATTCTTCAATTTGTTATTTCATTTTTCTGTTCCCTTCTATTGCACTGAAAGATTGACAGTGTCTCACTCAATCTGCACATTCAAATGCTGAGACATTATTGAGCACAGGATACCCCATCTAGTTTTAAATTTTAGCTCATACATTTTAAGAGAAGGAAGAAAAAGGAAAGCAAAAAGGCAACAAGGCTTTCCTGTATATTATCTGATGATCATAAGTTCAGAAGGCTGTGCAAAATCTGCTCAAAAAGTTGGTATTCATAATGTCATATGGTCGTGTAAGCATTCAGAATGGGGTAAAGGTGTCAGAATGTGAGCTGGACTTGGCTTACCAACAGTCCAATGGGCTAGTGTGCCTATGAAGTTTTTATACATCCTTCAACTGGTTTTGTGAGAAATTTGTTTGTAATTTGAGTTTTCAAGCAACTATCTTTGCTAAACAGATTTCATAACGTCAAATCTTAAATTAGTTATCATTGAAGGCGGAATCTATGTTTTGTCACATTCTGGATTCCATGTTTATAGCTAAATTTGTGGTTAAGATCTTCTTTAATTTTGTATATTTTGCCACCTTTACGCTATAACTTAACGTGGTAGATGGAGGGGCAGTATTTTAATAAGAGAAATGTCAAAAAGTTGGTATACATAATGTCATATGGTCGTGTAAGCATTCAGAATGGGGTAAAGGTGTCAGAATGTGAGCTGGACTTGGCTTACCAACAGTCCAATGGGCTGGTGTGCCTATGAATTTTTTATACATCCTTCAACTGGTTTTGTGAGAAATTTGTTTGTAATTTGAGTTTTCAAGCAACTATCTTTGCTAAACAGATTTCATAACGTCAAATCTTAAATTAGTTATCATTGAAGGCGGAATCTATGTTTTGTCACATTCTGGATTCCATGTTTATAGCTAAATTTGTGGTTAAGATCTTCTTTAATTTTGTATATTTTGCCACCCTTACGCTATAACTTAACGTGGTAGATGGAGGGGCAGTATTTTAATAAGAGAAATGTCAACGATCTGTTCTGTATTAAAGGTCACAAGTACTTTTACCTGTTTATAAAATTATGTTGTTGCTGTTTTCTGTTTTGGGATGAATGAATGGATTAGTGAGGAACCTTCAGATTCTTGATGTTTGCTGCTCATTTTGGAATTAACTTGAATCTTTTTGAGAACATGCTGATGATGTTTTGTTCATTGCTTCATCACAAGGTTATGACCTATTTTTGTCTCCCTTTGTTTGCATAATTTTGCAGCACATTTAGATGTTTTATGCTGTTGTGGTTTCGCAGTTTTCAAAAGGTCAAGAGGAACGAGTGGTTGTTGGTACCTTAGACCTTAACCAGTGTATCAGTGCTTCCAGATGAAATAACAGGAATGAAGCCAAAGGTAATTATTA